CTAATATAGACCCCAAAAATACTATGATTCCTTATTATAGGGACCCCCAATAAGGTACCCCGAATTGTCGGAAACCCCCAAATGTATTTCCCCTCCACTCAGTCCCATCACAGGGCTCAACTTCTCTGAGCCATGTACCATTTCTACTTGGGATCATCGCTTTACTGGGGCATGCCCCATCTCTAGGAAGTCTCCGTTGCTTTAGCTCTGCCAGGGTGTCTACTCTGCTGCTGTACCCCGTCCGCATGGGATTCAGAAGGAGTCATCAGCTATAACGCTCCGGCAAGACATGGAGCTTAAGAAGTCCCAAGGCTTCGAATTGCAAGGAACATCTGCGAAAACAACGTGACTCATATGCATGACTCCAAGAGATATACTGCAGCATCTGACTTGGAACCTCATGAAAGCTATAGTCTAAACTCCTTTGAGGGGTTTATACAGGGAACTATATAGTGGACTATTCTAGGGGTTATTAAGTGGATGCTAGAAGCTAGGAGTTTAGACTATACTGTGGCTCATTAACGTGTATACTTCACAGCTAGCAGGGCTCCAAGGCTGCGGTTGCTGCTGATCTTTGTCATCCACATGGATGCAAGAAACCTCAACTTGGTAGTTTCCTAAATAGGACGACCCCAATATATACCCCAAAGTAATATCATCCCTATAGTATACGGACTATAGGGACCCCCGTGCCCCCCATTTTGGGAAGCCCGCACTTGGACCTCAATCCTCTGAGCGCCGAGCCGCAGCAGCGTCCGGGCAGCTGTTGCCATGGCTTACGGCCAGGCAAGGACTTTGACACCTGCAGCTGGCGGCTGACTGCTACGTGCAAAAGGGCAAGGGGTGGGGTGTCTCTTCCTACGAAGATGATGATCAGGGCCATGGTAGGTATACTTTTCAGGCATTTCAGTGGGGCCAAAGTAGCATCCCAACTTGAATCTGAAAAAGTCTTGCGCGCAGCTTGCTGCATGTTGAGGATCGGTCATGAAAACTTGGGTGGTGTGGCAGAGTTGTTGCGGAGTAGCCTTTGTCTTAGGTCAGGCAGGTCTGCTCTCTGATTTGCGTGAAGTTGGGACAGCTCAGGATAGAGAATTGGGAGGCTGATGCTCTGGCCCGTTTGGTTGTCATCATCCTCAATCTTGGCATCTATGCGCTTCTTCTTTCCTTGCTTCGGTTGGGCATGACATGGGCGTGAGCACACTTCAGCTTGAGCAGAGGTTGTGTGTCAATCTTGAAATGTCCTGGCAGGACCCCACATATGGGGGTTTGTCAGAATTAGGGGTCCCTTTATGGTGGTCCCCCATATATAGAAGACTGTTGTATGATGGGGTGTAGATTGGGTCCCCCTATTCATGGAAACTACCACATGAACAGCCCGTCCTAACTCCAGCGATCCCGCTGACGGCCTACAACATGCTAAGATTCTGGCATGATCCGCTGCCCTTAGAGCAAGGTCCTTTACAAAGGAGGGTCTCCCAACAGAATCTACGGCCTTCCGGCCTCTGCACCATTCTCTGAAACCAAAAGCAACGCCCCCCTTTGCTTCTCGAGTTTCTGTTGCTCCTGCCCTTGTCTACAGCTCGTTGACCCGTGCTGTCAGCTTGACAAGAGGATGCACGAGATGACAGAATAAATGATCCAGGGAAAACATTTCTGTACTAATATATATCTAGCGATAGACGGTGAGACTGATATCGCCAAAGGAATGTAACAGGATCCCACCAAGAATCGACGCATCCATCCTGAACTTGACCTCCGCCAATCTCCATGGCAGATCCCAAAAGGGGACTGCAATCAGCCGCTGTTGGCGGCTGCAACGTCAATTGCCAATAATGGGAAGAACCCTCCACCTGGATAAGGCTTCCTTTACGTAATGTTGAATCCTGTGCGGCGTTCAGTTTGGGTAACCTGTGTGGGTTTCATGGATTCATTAAATTCACGCATGTTCATCATCAGTTATTCGTTCTGATTCAAGCTTCTTTGTCCAAGGCTAGGGCCTTTTCACGTCATAGACCAAAAACCAATGCCAGATGGATCCCATGCTTCGAGCGTTCTCTGAGTATGCAAAGGATAAGGGTTAGTTTCTGGCGCAGTAGGAGCGCAAGCTCTCAACAAAGACTTTGTTTGCACGAAATCAAAAAGCTGGTCGCCAATAAAGAGGTAAGTGTCCAAAGCATTGCCCTTGCGCACGGAGAACAACAGGACGCATCTCCCATAGCTTGCCATGTATTTACCAGTTCTGAAAGGCTTCCTGCAGAAAAGCTGCTGGGGCTGCATCACCAGGATGCTTACCCAAAAAGGATCCGTCAGGTAATCCAACGAGACACGTCAACAACTGCCTGCAAGCTGCGTAACTTTAGGCTTCTTCCCAGAACTTAATGGTGCTCAAGCGGGGTGGAGAGGTGAATAGAAGCATGATTAGTAGAGTATACCTGCACATGTACCTACATTTGTACACACATACATTGAAAGTATTCATTGTATGGATCCGCTCCCCCACCCCGGACTTAAGCTTCTTCCCAACAAGAGCTGCATGCTGCTTGGCAGCATGCAGCTGCTTGGGTCAAACCGCTGAAACCTAGACCTACACTCGCATGGGTGCCGGGGCCAGAAGAGCGAAGCCCCCTTTAGGGCTCAAGAATGGGAGCATCAGAAACTCCAGATATCGGTGTTTATGTGATGGATTTGGTGTTCCTCTCTTTGCAAGGGCCATCTTTAAGGTTTCCATCGACATTTTGGCAGAAACCCTCTTGTTTTGGGGTTCCAGGATCCTGCTTCTCGTCATTCGGGTGTGGACATACGGAACCTCAGTATGCAGCGGCAGCTTGATGAATGCTACTTGGGGAACGTGCAGTACTCAAGGAGTTTGTGGAGTATGTTGTTGAAAAGGGGCCTGCTTTCAACCACCAAATAATGGAATCCTCAAAATGTGGATCTTGCAAAGCACTCTAGGGCATTCTTAAGGCACCTGGATTAGCGACCACTTTCCTCGGCACCAGTTTTGAACCATCGGCTTAGCCGACTGGCATTCAGCGACATCCGAGGATGCTAATGCCAATCGCTTGGAATCTGTGCTGACCACCTCTGCTCAGAATTTCCAGATGCAACAGATTGCAAAAGCATAGCTGCCACACCAAAGCATCAGAACCTCTAAAAGGTTTAAAGTGTTGATAAGCCTTGTGTGCCTGTTATGGCATCTTTAGTGTCAGTCATGAAGCATGATGCTTACTAATCTTGATGCAACCTTGTTCACGCTTCACAGACTCCAGACGCGTATCCAAGTCCCTTCCGCCACGAGCCCACTGCCGGCGGTTCAGAGGGGCAGTCTTGCCTTTGCTGCCGGAGACCCAATGGGTAACGAAGGAATGCGCCTTGGGTACCATCCACAAAAAATTCTGAGGGTTATGGTCATGATACCATCAACATGTTGTGTCAGGATCTCATGCCCTCTGCATGCCCTCTTTCCTCGCTGAGATTCCTGGGAGTTCTTATCTGCAGGACACCAAAGCAGAAGAAGACGGTGCTCTACAGGTTTGAAGGCTGTCAGTTGCAATGGGTTGATTGCTGCGATCCTTGTTTGTGCAAAACCTGCAGAACCCATCGCTACTGTTTGCACTTAGAATACAGCTGGTTGCCTTTGCCAACTCCTTTGACTGCCCTAGAAGACCTCTTGGTTCAAGATCGGTTCGTTTCACCTCCCTGCTCTTCCATACTGTTGATGGAGGAACTCTTGCACCACCTAGCGGCCCTAAATTATTGTAATTTCTAGGACTTTAGGGACTAAGGTGGTGCAAGATTTCCTCCATCAACAGCACCATGGCCCGGAACCGCGCACCTGCCAAGCTACCAAAGGAAAGAGATGGTGGGGTTTGGGCTTACGGTTTAGGGTTTACTTTTAGGAGAAATGCACCGCAAGCACAAAGAAAGCTGCAGCTGATCTGCTTGACACTGCCTATAAACCAGATGTGCCAAAAACTGGCTTGCTGTTAAGGAAAATAATTCAAGTTACTATACTTCGGAACCTATTATTTACTATATGTATATATATATATCCATCATGGCAACTTAAATCCAAGTTCCGTAACAGCAACCCAGAGAACCAACCTCCAAAACCTCAACAGTCTTTGCCATTGTGATAGTCCTATGCGCCGGCCTGCGTTCACAGCACGCCGGAAAACGTGAGGAGGTTGTCGCAGACCGTGTTGCGGAGCCCTGAAAGGCGAGGAGTCATGGCGCAGAACTTAAGGACTCTAATGTAGACACCCGATTAATAAACCGCTCCGCTTAATGGGGACTATACCAGGGATCCTGCTATTAAGGCCCTTAGAAGGAGGGGGTTTATTAATCATGGGTCTAACATTACCTTGTAGTAAGGGCTATCAGGGAATAGTATTGGCATTCAGGATTCTACATGATCATTGGCCAACCTTCGCCATTTGTTGGCTTTCCAACTTCAGAGACATGCCTTCATTTCGCGTTAGGCCATAGGCGCCTTCAAAATTATGCTATAGTAGTTCCCCTATAATCCATATATAACCCCTATCATCCCTGTAGGTTCCATTTTCTTTTTTCCATTATCCATATATGATTGCCAGGAGCACGGGACAACTGTCCAATCGATCGTTTCATTAGGTACCTGCCTGCCTTCGCGTAGCTTCCACTGCCCAATCGATGATGAAATTGCATGCTTGTGCGCCACACGCAGGGATACCATTGTGGAACTTGGAACCATAGCAAAACTTATAGCTTTTGCTGTCCCTTAGGATTATAACAAGGAAAAAGTAAAGATTATTTCCTAGTACCCCTAAGATACGTAGGGCATAGTGCGCCAGTATTCATCTGAGTTTTTTTTTTTTGTTTTGGGTCGTTTTCTCACGGTTGCCCACGTCACTATTGTAAACGCTATCTTGGAATCGTTACAACTGCTCTACTAGCATCGGTATAGGCCTTGGAGATCCCTGAGAAAACTGCTTTTGAGGCAGACCCAACATTTTGGGAGCCTTCTTGCCATTGCCCTCCCGGGCATCCGTCTGCAGGTCCCTTGGTTTCCACAATGGGCACCTGAGACGCACTTTCATGTCTGCAGTAGGCAGGCTCTTTGGAATCCTGGCACTTCGGCAGAGCACCATACTCCTGACAGAAATCCTTGTGTGTTTGGACGGGGCCAGTTAATGTCATATGGGACGTGTGATTCAGATGGTCAGCCCGTCCGCAGAGAATCCTAGGGCATTGCAACTCAGGAGGAAGCCGTCAAGTCTGCGTGTCCTTTTCCTTGGTTCGTTTGACTGTCTGGCAAGCATAAACCGAGGTAATACTTGCCGTGCCAGCTCCCATGTAGCCCTCGTAGCACAGAACTATGCATTCTTCCTGAGAGGTCCCCGTCCGTGTTCTGTGAGTGTAGGCACAATTGATTTGGTACCAGCTCTGGCATGCATGCACACAAGACCCATGCACATGCAGCAGAGGGGCGCCAGCGCTGGACGACCAAGCGGCCGCGTGTGCGAGAATCCTCCAGGCCAAGAAGCGTTCCACAGACGTTGTACCAGGATCAACAATGCAACCGTCAGAAAAACACCATTATGACATCTTGCCGGAAACCTTTATGTTTAGCATGTGAAGCAGCTCAGAAGAGCTGGGCTCACTCCCATAAACTCATTTTTCTGGAAAATACTTGGTGGGGGGTTACTGGTCGAGGCAAGTGCGGAGCAGAATAAACTCTTGCAAACTGCAGCGCGGGACCTTTGCCGGGCGTTCCAATCTCCAGGATGGGCTGGAGGACCCTAAGCCCTAAACCCTGAAAACCTCACGTTGCAATCCCTGCCCTCTCCAGCTGCCCCATGCCAGTTGAACAAAGATCATGGACGCTGCCTAGCCCTGATCTGAAGCTCTAAAAGTGCTAGCCATGCCTTGAAATATCTTTTTGCTTCTCATGTGGGGGTGCCTGGGTTCCACACTTCTGTCCCACACGAAAGCTGCAACAAATGGTCTAGCAAACCCTGAGCTCTGAATCTTTGCACCCTCTCTTCTGCCTGATGAGACACACACATCAAATCGCCTGCCTCGTAGTGCAAGACCCGAATGTGATCCATCGTCTGCAGCTCCACCTGAACTTGACGGCCAGAACTTGACAAAAAAGAAGCTGAAAGGCGGTTAAGGTTTAGGGTTTAGGGGCCAGTTCCTAACTTGAATTGTCACTATTGCTGACATTATTTCTGTTATTACCATGTCTAGTATGCATACCAACTATCATGAATATTAGTGTTCTTATTGATAAGTATATACATAGGTACTGCTGTTATTGCTGTTGTCTTTATCACCACAACACCGAAGGCCAGGCTACTTGCCCGAAAGTGCCCAAAAGTACTATCTCGGAAAAGCATCAAGGGGTTCGTCTTCGTGCTTGTAGTAACCTAGGTATAGAAGTTGAACATGTATTGCTGAAACCCTGCAACCATTTCGCTGTTTCAAGCCGCAAGCCTGAAGTAGAAGAGGGGCTGCAAATCTGAAAGCGTGCCATGTCCTGTGAACTGCCCCCTCCTTGTAACAGTCTATATTAGGGGTCACATGAAGGGCTATATATAACCATATATTGAATATTATCCAACTGGTACAGGGTGGGGGCAGTACCCAAGCCATGTCCATCACCCGGCCTTGCGCTCAGCCTTGGAGTTCTTCATGCGGGGGCTTACCTGTCACGGGTCAAGATTTTCGACGCCTGTAACGTGTGCTATGATGCGTTCAGCACAAGACCATTGGAGGATTGGAGGCTTGCCAGTATCCAACACCGCGAAAAGCCATGGGGGGATTTATAGGTGATAGCTTTTTCTTCCACATGCTCTGCATAGGTGACGGCCTACGGCAACCACCGCCCCGACCAGTGGCAATCCTCCCTCACTACATCATACTCACTCTTCCCTTGGAGTTCCACATCTTACTAGGGGGCAGGAGTGTCGTGATTCTTGGGGAAAATGACCATCTGTCATGTCAGGCAGCCACATGGGCCTGGGCTTTGGGCTTCGTTGGAGGCTCAAAGTTGCCCTGGAAGGCGAGCCACTCCGGTGGAACCTGGGCTGGAATTGACCATGAGGTTTGTAGTGAAGGGGTGGAGTGTGTTTTGGGACTGATGCTGCTTAGGATATTTGGGTTTTGGGACAGATTTCTGAGCGGCAGTCTCAAGGTTGTAGAGGTCAAGTTAGCTTTATCTCTTGTTTGACTGCTGGCTGCTACACATTCAGAAGCTGAAGCCCGCGAGGATCAACATTAGCCATTAAGGGCCCTAGTCGAACTACAGCCTGCAGACCACACCAATCTACATTCGCTTTTGCCCCTGCCTTTTCACTGCACCTTTCACTCTGGAGCCGCCACTTGAGGTTGCCCTCGAGGCCAGTTTAGTGGCTACTGAGCATGATTGGATTCACCCGTGCGATGGTAAACCATTGTAGCAACGCCAACTTCACGAATGTCCATTTATCGCGGACAAAATATGGAACGACCATCAGTCGCACACCCGCCCGTTGGCAACGTTCCACCTTCGCTGCATCTCTCTCCTGCTGCCTCTTGAAACTTGTGGGGTCTCTGGAATGGAAATAGCTATCAGCGTCGTAGTGCTGTTCTCCATGGTACTCAAAAGCCAGCCGCATTGCCGCGCAGTATCCGTCCAGCTGCAGGCCTGCCAAGAAATCGGGAAAACATGAATCGAATGCTGCCGGGAAGAAGATCGTTTCGAAAATCCGCCGAACCTCTGCCTCTGTCTTCCATATGGTTGCTGCGCATGTTGGACACCAGCTGCCATTGTAGAGAACGCTGCCGGCAGAGGCACTCCAGCTATGACCAAACCTGCAAGTCCAGGTCAGCTTCTGATGCGAGTTCCGGTAGGTTGTGGTAAGGCACTGTCCGCCGAGGGATATGGCGTGATCCTGGACACGCTGCAACCCGATGGGAGCATTTTTAGCACACTTGGGGCACCAGGACCCTGAATGCAGGACATTTTTTGGTGTGGCCTGCCATTCATGGCCATTGCTGCAGCGCCACATCACTGTGAACTTGACATTTTTGTATTCGACTGCGAGGCACTGCCCGCCTAAAGCCGCAGCATGATCTTGCAATGGCTTGATCCCAAGAGGCCCAGTCACGGCACACTGCGGGCACCAGCTATTCCTGTACAGCACATTGCTAGCCATCGCTTTCCAAGTGTGGCCATGCTTGCATTGCCAAGAAAGCTTTGCCTTCACACTCTCGTAGTGGCTTGCTAGACATCGCCCTCCCAGCTTGGCAGCATGATCGTGCATGTCTTGCAGTGTTAGCTTCCTACGGACTTGCTGTCCTTTTTGTGTCCCACGCTTGGATTCGTTAGCACATTCTGGGCACCAAGACTTATTGTGCAGAACATTGGTAGGGGTAGCGTACCACTCATGCCCAGACCTGCATCGCCAGCCAACTTTGGCCCTGCAGCTTGTGTAGGCAGTGGCGAGGCATTGCCCACCCAACGTCTGCGCATGATCCTTCAACCGATGCAACCCGAGTCGCGCTCTACTCCAAGCACATTCTGGACACCAGCTTTCATTGACAAGAACTGAATGAGAAGTTGCGAGCCACGTGTGCCCTTCCCGACACTGCCACCGCATCTTGGTGTGGTTGTTCAGATATTCGGCAGACAAACAATGACCACCGAGGGACGCTGCGTGGCCTTGCAGCCGCTGCAATGCCTGATCTTTTTTTGCCTGTTTCTTTGGGACAGGCTGGAGCTTTGACGAGGAAGTACAAAAACGTGAAATGGTGCTGAGCAGCTTGGGTAGCCGTGATAGCTGGGGTCGAGTCCCCACAGCTGCAGTCATGCACGAATGCAGTGTCTTCCAGCTTGACATGCAGCTGCGGTTGTCATTCCGGCCACGCCAGGATGGAGCATGTTTGACAAATGCTTGCGGTCTCAAAAATGCCAGCAATTGAACTCAGAAAGTCACTTCCCATGTGTTCTAACAGCAAAACATGGTTAGGATCATGTGAGAGCCATGGCACGATGTCGGCGAAGCGAGATTGGGCATTCTGCCCGCCTGATTGCAGCTGACAACCCTTTGGGGGATGTTGGTACAAGTCAATGCTGGGGATGTAATGCAGGCCTTCAACGACACTAGCTGCAGCCCTAGCCAAGCCTTTGATGCGGGGTAGCCCACGTTGATAGCCATAGCGCTTCAGCTCCTTTCAGCGAGGAGACTTTCAATTTCGAATTCTGAGCTGGCAGACAGGCATCCGACCAAATCCGATTGACGGGCCTAGCACATTACGCTGTCTGAGTTCCTGGCTTCAATAAGTCAGCACCTGTTCTCGGCCAGTGGCAGAGAAACATAAACTGCGCGGAGTAGCTCCCAGACGCAGAGGGTGTAGCAAGGGCTAACCGTACACTGTGCTTGCTAGGGTTGAAGGGACTCTCGCCTCACCAACATGCAGCATGGCTGCGTCTCAATCACTTCCCCTCCCTAGATCTGCCCTAATATGAAATACGGGGTCCCCAGAATTCCTAAGTCTGAAATCCGCCCCCAAGACTACGTTTGAAATGGCCACGACTAAAGTTAATTATGGCAGGGATCCTGTGAATTAGAGGGCGACTCTTTAGGATCATGGATCTTCTTGATTTCCTAGACTTGGATGGTTTTGGATGGCCTTTGTAAAGGAATGTAAGTAGAATCTGAATGCGAGTTTAGTTGGGCCTGTTGCGTAGTTACATTGTCTCTCATTAGTTTGTCAGCAGTTTTTACACAGCTTTTACTTGATTGTAATCTTAAATTGGTTTTAATCTAGACTGTCATGAGATTTTTTGTTGAATTGTTCATGGCTTTTACTTTGATTTAAGTGGATTTATTATGATCTTGAATCTTAATTCGATTTATTCGGTTTCATGCTTGATTTTCTCAAATGGAAAACGCTTTTACCTTCTATGTCAATAGGACCTTATTCTATATTCCCCCCCTCCCCGTTCGTGCCGTACCATAAATACACCCCCCGCTCTAAAATCAAATACGGTTCGGAGTATTTACATCAGGGGTGGAGCCCTTTAATGCTAGGGGGAAAAGATTATTCTAGCATCTCCCTTTTTCCCTGTACATGCTTAGGCTGCAAGACCACTGTCCTGATGATCTCTACCCTCAAAGTCTTGCACTACAGGCAAACCTCCGAACTGGGTGGGCACGAGCTTAATGTCTGTGCATCCATTGCAATGCAACCCAGTCCAGGTCGGACTCGCTCTTGCTCTTCATATCCCACCGGGCTGCCGTCAGCGGGTGCATGGCCTTCAGCTAACACTTTGGCGCGGGTAGTGTCTGTCCAGCATCCGTGGTTTGCGTCCAGCATCCATGGTTTGCAAGTGCCCATTTTGGATCAGCTCACCTGTCCTACTATCTTGAGCTTATGTATGTTTTCTGCTTATCCTACAAATTGTGTGCTTGTTTGAGATGACAGTGTAGCAAACACACTGGCAGCCCATTCATAGGGACACGTGGGTTTTCCACGTTGCGATGATGCGGCCCAAGTTTGAGATGATGATCGAAAACAGCAATCCTCGGTGATTCTAAGATCCCAAATGTAGGCCCCGTACCCTTTCGCAAGTCTGCGGCTTTCTTTCACTGCCGCGCGGCCGAGCCTGTGGCATGCAATCAGATGTAGCTCTTTGAGGTGAGGGGGTCCTTCTAAGGCATCCTTGCGCTCAACTCCCAAGAAAGTGCTAGTCAAAACTCCCTTCGCAAATGCATGAATGAGTCTAGGCGTCCTTGGTACCATGCATGGTGTCCTAGGTCTGCTGTCTGCATGTGCTACCGTAGGTGCAGAACTATGTTGGCCTAATTTTGTAGCAAAGTTGACACTGCCGCAAAACCTCCCGAATGCTGTCAGCCCAAGCACCAAAGAAGCGCGTCTTGTAGGCTTCTCCGCTGACAGCCACGTGTTTCACTTTCCACTGGGTGAAGGTATGCTCCAAAGCTCAAATCGGAAAGCCATACCTGAAAAAACGCTCCTTGTTTGCAGCTGGCCTGGACAGGCCGAAAGCGCCAGCGCTTGGTGCCTTAGCATGCATGCATCCACAGCCTTGAATGGTTGAGGAAATCATATGGGGAATTGGTATCTTTGAAAACCAAGCTGCTAGTACAGCATCATGACTCTTGTGGAGGATACTTGCAGACTTGGATTCAATTTGTCACAGGATCACGTCTCGCCAAGGCACCTCCCACATACTCACCGATCGCTTGGGGCGCACGTCGGGGCGGTGGTGAGCCTGGCGAAGCTTTGAATCTTGCGTAATTAGTGCTCCATGAGGACATACGCAGAGTGTTGCGGTATACATGAACTTTTAAAGAGGAAACAAGGAGCAGAAGTTATGGCACAAGGAGCGCATGTTTTGAAAGGCCACAACTTTGGCTCAAACAGCTGATGTGCCTGGGCCCATATGTGGTCGCCAGCTAGAAAGACTTGAAAGGCGCTCGCTTGGTGGAGGAGTACTGAACTCAAAGTCAGAGAGAGAGAGAGAGAGAGAGAGGGAGCAAGTCCATCCTGCTGGGTCATCATGTACGCGGGAGGCGTTTGGATTTGTGGACCAAGGAAAAAGCGCTGCCACATTTTACTTTCCATCTTTTGTGTTCCATTTGTTCTCAGCAATATGTGATTAGCTTAAAAGAAGCATGATCTAATTCCCGAAAGAAGCCAGATCTAATTCCTGAATGGCATCCTACAGATATTCATAATATACGTACATCAACGGCCAATATGGCGTTGAGAGAATCTGCCCCAGCCTCGACCTCTTGCTACGCAAAGGTCTGAGAGGCACCGGCTCAGCTCCTCAGGGTGGTTGCTCCGAAAAGGTGGGGTGCTTTCTTGATGTTGCAGGGATGACATGAGCCATTTTGGGAATATGGATTGCTATCTGGGTTCAGGTTTAGGGATGCTCGATCCATTCAATGTTTTGGTTTTTGGAGGGGTTTTACCTAGATCATGCCGCTCGGGCCTGAGTTTCTCAACGCCTTGCCTTCCTGTTTGAGGCTTTCATTTCGATTTGAAGCCTTCCGAGGAACCCGTGTTTGAGAAGCGCGCCGCAAGGGCACCCATACATGAATTCAAAAAGACATGCCCGACTTCTTCCGACTTCTTCCACGATGGGCTTGGAGGATCTGGCAGCTTAAGTATTTGTGCCAATTGCTGGTTCTGGGACAGACGCATATTGGGCACGCATGCTTGGCCTACGCCTAGGTCAAATACGGATTTCACTAAACGTGGGGATGTTTAATTTCTTTAAGGGCAACAACATGAAGTGAAGGGAGCTCGTGTTGCGGGAGTCAACATAAGGGGTACGTAAGGGTTGTACTTATATAGTTATGGGGAGTTAAATATGCGGCTTATGCCAGGTCACTCTTTGGGACCCCATGTAGTTGCCTTAGATTCCCAGGTTGATTTTGAAAGATCTTCGATATGAATCTTAAGAAATTGGAGCTTGCGACTTGCAAGCTCATGGGTCGGTGGAGCCTGCAAATTCGAGACCTCCGCCTTGGATACTGCATCCGTCCTGTAACGGCCTCTACGAGCAGGATGGGATTACCATGGAAACTGCTCCTGCAAACTGCAAACCTGACACGCGCATCTACAAATCTCCATGGCAGCCCCGCTCCGGCAGCTTGGAGTTCTCGCAAGGCTGGTGTAGGCGCTCAACGAAGCGGGCCTCTCGTAGAGTTTGGTCTCAGGGGATCCCATCAAGCTTGGTCAAAGGAGTGGGGCACATCAAGAGGTTTTGGAGGCTCTGGAAGAAAACGGTGCAAAGCAAAGTAGCCAATGCCTCTGCTTTGGGGCTGTCAGGGAGCATCATGCTGCGGCGGCCATATACAAGAGCGCCCGCTGGGAGCTGGCAGGCTTGCAAGGGGCTCAGTTGCTGCTCTGATATTTTGAGTCTTCCTTGATGCGTGTCAGCATTACAACCGCAACCTGTATAAGTTCTCACAGATGGCGCTGAAGGTTTCTAGCTGGTTTTGGGAAACACCCTGGGCTCCTGGATGCCCACCTGCCCACCTAAAGCCCTCTGTGGATGATCACAGTTATGTACCTGACGGCTTGGCATCATCTTGGCCCCCCCGAGCCATCTGGCCCTGCCCCCTCCTACTTTGAGCCGAAGGAGTGCGCCAGGGTTGCGACTACACCGCGGAGCCCCAAGCTCGAAGGAAGCTGAAATCCTGAAGCTGACCGTTGACTCGCAATACTCATTCAGATCTTCTGTATGTAAGGTGGCTTGCAGACGATTCCACACTTCTATGACAAACATCCTCTCTTTTCCAATGGCTCTTGCTACATTATGTGCTGGCAAGAGCCACGGAGACCGACCGGATTGAGGCAAGAGGGAGAGGTTCTTGCACAAAAGCCCTTGAACGCGTCTTCTGGGATGTCATGACTGCATCCAGAGAAATACTTCACCCGCCCATCAAGTTCCCAAATCGAAGTCCTCACATGTCTCCAAGCCACTCTGCTCCACACTTCCCCGACTTAATCCTACCCGATGGCTCCAGGACGCCTTGTTGCCTGCTTCTGCCCCTACACTCTACAGCTATTGCCTCGGCTTCCCCAACGAGCGAGGCAAGCTGGAAAGCCTGATAGATCTTTCAACCCCTCATCCGCTCTTCAACCTTACCAACCTGAACCGGCCCCACCAAAACACATCCGGAACAGCACCCCCTTCTATGCAACTCCCCTTTAATTGCTTGCTGAACCCTATCCAACTGGGGAAAAACAATTTTCCCCAATTGGGGAAAATAGTAAACAATTGGGGTAAATATCTTTACCCACTTGGTTAGCTAAAGGCACGCAGGGTTAGCTAAAGGCACACAGCAGCCCTGGGCATTTTCTTCCAGCAGCGTTTGCCCGCGGGCTCCCGGCAGGTCAAGGTTCCCCCAGCACTGCGCTGCAGTGCGGCGTGTCCCGGCATTAGAGCGTAGCTGTTTCCGTCTTGGGATTCGAAAAGTCTCAGAAATTCATATTCCTTATTGGCTGAGTTCTAATTAGAAAGCGAACAGGAGGTTGAACTGTGACCCAGGTGGGAGAGGACTAGGCCATAATGGCAAGCAAAGATCATCGACATGGGTGGTTGTCAAAATTATGGTCCTTTTTTGGATCCCTATTATAATACGGCACCTAATATTTAGGGTACCCAAAATGGGACCATAAGTTTGACAACCACCCAATATGATATTGGGGCCTTGAAGGTTGAGCCAGAGGATGGCCATAGTGGTAGGTAACTTAGGAGGACCCCCCACCCTGTAATAGTGGTATAACAAAAATATAAGAGGACCCTAATATAGTCCCTATTATCCCTTATAGTCACTATTACTGGGTGGGGGGTCCACGTAAGTGGTAACAATAATTCTTGTGTGTAGGCTCTTGGCCGGCTCTAGGCCTCGAAGCCTATAGTACATACAGCGGATACTAAAACTCCTACCTGACCCCAGGTATCTTCTACCTCTGCAAGTATGGTATACTATAGTCCCCCTTAAGTAGATAGAATATGGGGTATATGGGGATCTTATTCTAATATTCCCAAAGCCATATTCTATCTACTTAGGGGGGACTACGAGGTCATGCAGTATCCTCAGTAGTACTATAGGCTACAAGCTGAACTACTGATGTAGAAGCTCGGGGCTTCGGGGAGACTGAAGGATTTTCGGTTCCGTGGCTTCTCTCTCCGGCTTTAGGTTGGTAGCATTAGTGGGCTGCTATATACTGCTTGTCTGGGTTGCTGTTAAGGGTGTAACATTAGTACAATATGGACGGGCCATCATTTACTATCCGTACTATGTTAACTGAATTAAGTTCCTCAACAGCAACCGAATTGTTACATGGCTGCAAACTGATACTTGTGCATGGTTGAAGCTTCATACTCCTGAGCATGTGTATTTCTACTTTCAGGGCTTGGAATACTAGTGGACGGCAATGCCGGGACATGCTCAGCTCCCCCCCATTGCGCTTCGATAGCGCCCCCTTAACCTCTTAAAACCCGCATCATAAGTATCCCTGCTAGGTCGTGAAATCAACCATCCATTCCTGATCTTCACACCGAACATTTCCCCTGAAATGAATTGTCGGAACTGGCACAAGACACCTAGACCGCTCCCAACTGTAACTCCGTGGAGACTCAGACAACCAACTCCCAGAGCTCTGCTGAGGAGCTTTGCAGGGCAGTGCCTGCAAGCTTTGGCGGACAAGGCAGTTTGGAAAGGGAAGCCTCTGTTTGGAGGCTTCTTCTGAAGTCAAGTAAACAAAAAAAGAGGCATTTGATTGGAGGTCTTTGAAAGGAAGTAATTCACTGTCAACGTCTGATTAGGGCCTGGGCTGTTTAAAGCCACTTCTCGTAAGCATAGGATGCTGTATGGGACTTGCTTAACGTTAACCCTATGAGCCCCCGGAATCCGCTTCCCTGACGGCCCTCTCTTTTGAGAAGTCACCGTATGACACCGCAGGTCCTGATAATTCACAGGCCCAGATGAGCAGGGCGCATCGGTTGCAGGGCTTGCTTTGTTGTTTAACAGGGATGCCTCTAACCCCAGGGAAGCCTTGAGATTCACCACTGTCGCCGTCAATGTTCGTGCTCTCTGTGGTCACCGTGTTGGCTGGCTCCTCTGCTCCAGCGTCACCGGATCCTGCATATTTTCAAAAGGATGCAGGAGTTGTGAACCTGAACAGCCTCACGGTACACTTCCGCACTAACTATAGGGGTAGCCGTCACAAAAACTGATGGTTTCTGCTCCTTCATGGGCCTGCTCACCAAGCTCAAATGCCTCTGCAAGCCTGTAACCCTCAAGGAGAACTGGAAACACCCGTTGGATCTCCCGTTCCTGCGCCACTCGGCTCTGCGACGGCTGCGGGCTCCTCAGCTCCCTCGGTGCAATCCATTTCCGCAGCCTCTTCTGGTCCTGTGCTGGAAATGTGTCACCAAGTCCCAAGAGGGTTTTGTGTGATTCTTCTCCACTTGAAATGTAGAACACCGGGAGCCAAGAGCCCTCACACATCTCAGGGCTCAGGTGCCTGTGTTAGATCCTTTTGACACAACTCATGGGCACATGTGGCTACCTACCCAGCCCTGCCAGCCTGCGCCATTCGACTCTGCCAGTGCTGGCTCTTGCGCCTCTGAGGAAGCCTCCTCTGCTGCTTCCCCAGGTCCTGGCTCAGAATTCACAAATTTGGGGACCAAAATAAGCAACTGAACGTCGTGCTATAGGACTCGAAAGGGGAACTCCGCTATTCTTGGTCACCACAAGATTGCGCGGAGCGTCATCCGTGTTGCTGGTTCTGGCTTTTGGTCGGCAATCTTACGCTAATGCAGGTCTCGCATTGCTTCAAGGCTTTATGCGAGCTGGAACCCGTTACGTGAGTGCATCCCAGATGATCCATCATAGGTCAGAAATTTGCAGCCCTACTCCCCGAGCCTTAAAACCATCTGAAGCTCCTAACCGCGCTTGCCTGAAATTGACTCCCCCGTGGCTGTTGGCTCAGCTCCCTCAGCATCCATTGCCCCCGCATCACCGGCTCCTGCGCTGTCGGCCACAGGCTTTCTTCCCAGCTGATAGGCTGCATGGCTTTCAAAGGTTTAAGTGCAATTGCACATTTGGGAAGGTAAGAGACATCGGGGAGCAAGAAAGACTCCAGTGGGAAATCTTGAGGTAAGAGGGCCCCCTCTAGAACGTAGCCACCCCACAACATGTACACTCTCCTCCGCTCAACTTCTGGAAGCCCAACTCCCAAGCCACAAGAGGCAAACACAAAAACCCAAGCCCAACCCTCACCCTAAACCCACTATAGTACTTTCCATTTTCTTTTCTATTATCCCTATATAACCCCTATATTCTATCTTCTTTCAGGGGGACTATATTCCCTAAACCCTAAACCCTAAATACTATAGTAGTTTCCATTTTCTTTTCCATTATCCCGCTATAACCCCTAAACCCTAAACCCTCATTTGCCAAACGTCCCGCCTTCTGCAGCCAAGTCTGGCTCCCCAGTACCCTCGGCACCCTCCCCCGCGGCATCGTCAGGTCCTGGTGCAATGTCTGCCCTGCCCCAGTCCCAGTCCCCCCTTTGCAACCCCTATAGTACACCCCCATATAATCACCTATGTAACCCCCTTGAAGGAGTTCAGACTATATCTCATTGATCCTTAGCCCCAGTCCTGTTTCAGAAGGGGCTAAATGAGGCTTAACGTTAGCTTGAGGCAGGGTGAGGGGCTGGTAGAGGCTGTGGGCGAGTCCCAAAAAGAGCGGGACATGTTTACAGCCGGGGCAGGTAAGAAGTTCAGGACATGAACTATTTGGTAGTTGATCAAAGTTCCAGTTCCCAAACTGGCCGTTATTCAGCATGATGTCCCCCTGTTTTCCCGTTTAGACCTACAGGAACCCCAAACAATTTCCGCAAAGAAGCTTGAGATCAAACTTCTTTTGAGACACGGTCTAAACTCCTAGTTTCCCCCTTCATGACCCCTTATAGCACTCCCCCATATAATCACCTATGTAGCCCCTGAAGGAATTCAGACTTTGGCTACTAGAGCTTGTTTGGCCAGTCCTGGTTCGTCTGGCTCGAGAACGATGGGTTCTGTCATTTCGGCCTTGCTTGCTTGGAGGGTCATGGGGACTTAGTAAGTAGGTTAATAATGGGGATCGTGGAGGAGAAAATGGAAACTACTATAGTATTTCGGGTTTAGGGTTCAGGGTCAGGGGGACTTAGTGAGTAGGTGAATAATGGGGATGATGGGCGGCTATTGTATGGCTTATAGGGGTTATTAACCGAGTTACTAAGTCCCCATGACCCCCCTCCAAGTGAGCTTAGTGTTGAGACCCAACATCCTGAATTAGCTTTTTCTTGTAGACTCTCCTACTTTCCACAGTGTAGTCTTTGTTTAAGTATTCAGGGTCATTTAGGACTTGTAATATCAAAAGGAATTCTCTTGAACAATGCTGCCAGAAAATTGTGGGACGTTTCGGCTAAGATAGAGATATTGGAGACACATCCAAGGCGCAGGTTCAAGATCTAAGCGCTCATGCCCCTAAACCTGCTTGCTTTGTCAGATACTATTCGAAATTATGGCTTCAGAATCCTTACTGGGTTCTCATATGCTATAAAAACTAACACTAGACGGTACCAACAATGGCGCAGGTCAGAACACATTCTAAATTGCTTGAGGGTTCATCGGTTGGACATTCCCATAAGCATACCTGTCGAAATCACACACCGTTTGCAGACAATGATCCGCGCCAGTGTGGTGACTATCAGTCTTGTCTGTGACACTTGTTGGTCAAGCTCCGCGAGATCATCCCACATTATGCTTTGTCGCTCTTGGGATTGTCCAAAAGTACTAGGGCCCGTACTGTGGGCCGGGCGGAGCCCCAAAAACCAATCAAGTTGACAATCCCCTATACCAATCTGTAATCTTAAGGCTGTGGCGCCGCTCAGCTGTAGCACAGGCCGTGCCTGATCCAACAGGCAGATGTCAGGGCAACGCAGCTGTTCGAGATTTGGGCAACAGGAAAAGGTAGCAGGATTGTAATGCTTAGGGCTTTTGAAGCTTGAGGGCTAAGCTTGCTGCTGTCTGAAGATGGGCATAGCCTCCAAGGAAGTAGAAATGTGCTTTTCAACTGCCAAAATTGACCACAAATGTGGGACCCGCGATTCCCACATACCCTTAGAGTCCAGAAGGGCACCAATATTTTGAGAAATTCTACTTGACAAGACACAAGCTGAAAACCCGTCTGCAAGCTTGACGTAAGGCTCACATTAGGAGTCGTTGGATTTTCTACATTCTACATACCCGATGTGCGGTGCCATCAAATGAATCTGCTATGACACCCAGACCCCAAAGAAAGGTAACATCAAATGTTGCTGCCAAGCTTATGAAAACAGCGACACCTCTTCTCGTGCAAGCGGAAATTGAACTCCCTTCCCATGCTCGAGCACATGAGTCGTGCGAGCTCATGACTTGTGCACTCAAAGCCCTCAGCCCCATCCTTAACCTTGAGACCCTAACCACAATGCACAAGTTCTATTCTGAGGACTTTGGTAAACCCAACCCGAATAATACAGTGCTGCTGCTATTGCTGCCACTGCTACTGCTGACGCCACTGCTACTGCCGCTACATAAAGCCAACAGTTCAATCGGGATCCTTATAACCTCCCCTTACAACCTACACATACACCCAGGCCAAGTCCTCCAATGTAAGGAATCCTCAAATGAAACCCAAGACTATGGGCTGAAATTTCTCATCCTTCATCCTCAAACTTCAGCTTCAAAAAGAAGGTTCTCAAACTTGGGACCTCCAAAGTCGCTTTGCATTGTACTCCCCACAGATATCCTCACGGTCTTCAGCTTCACCCATTCTTAGGATCCCCCCTCCAAACAATATGCACCCCCAAAAAAACAGTCTGTGCTGAGGCTACTGCCATCTGTGCAGCCTCCCTCGCGCCCTGCGGGGGAGCGAACCCTTCTTCTCGATGTATGTTCTTATCCCTCAATAGCTTAGGGTGTAGGGTCTGAGGGTGCTGCTTGCTTTTGGGACCAAGTCCCAGCTTGGCAATGTGAAAGTTATGACCATAAGAAGCGATACTTTTGATACTGAACATCCTGCACGACCTTTTGATACCGAACTTGGGACACCACGCCGCTTTGCAGTAATTCTTTGTTGCGCTTCAGGCGGCTCAGCCTGCCCTCGTGCTGGATGCGACGTAGGATCTTTACCCAAAATGGCACCAAGTTTCTATGCCGACTTGTTGTTCATCAATTTTTCTACGGAACCCTACATGCACTCCAAAACTTTACAAAAACAGCCTACTTCATGTAGGTTAGATGACAGAAATACACAGTCTTACGTGCAGTGTTGAGCAGAAGTGCTTACGAAAACTACATGCAGTGAGCAATCAAGTTGTGCAGCCGACAGCTTCGAATGCACCTGCAACCGCGCAGTTTTGGATTGCGCCTCGAGGGGATGGGGGCGGGGGTTGAGCCCTTCATGCTCAGAACAAGAACGCACTTCACGCACCAAAATGTGAAACAACTTATTCTCTAATCCCATTCCACTTCCTACACCCAAAGCCCAGTACGCAACCCTCCACCAAACAGACATGGAGCTGAAAATCTACGGAAAATCTACCGCTGCCGAAAGGACAGTTACTGTAATCTTTGTAAGCTTGCTTAGAGCGTCGTCCCCTCCCCAAAGACTGTAATCAATCCTGCCGCTACCTCGCAACATTCCCCGAATAGTCATACATATCTATATACACATATTGCATAGAACAGTGTGCATGTGTATATGCATAAATATGTGTGCACACAAAAATTAGAGGAATGCTTACTTTCTTGCGGGGCCATGTTGTGTTTGTCGGGCTGGGCAGTTACGCTCTTAGATTTTGGAAAGGATGCCAGGCCTGGCGCGCGATGTGACGGTCCGCCTTGCCCCAAGCTAGGCTGGCTTGCTGTTAAGGACCGAAAATACAGGAGCCATAATACAGGTACATCGTAAAAAAGAGGGGTTCCTTGTTATAGAGGCTTCCGGCCGGCTTTGCCTGCCTGCAAGAGTCGTATACAAATTCAGAAAACCTCAAAATGTGGTAGGGATTTTCCTGCAAGTCTTACGGGGCAGCCTCTCGTTTTGTAATTGAATTTACGCTCTCCGCCTCTGCCTTAAGATTAGTCATGTGCAGGCCCCTTATATGATTCAAGGCGTATTCCCGGGTTTCTAGGGGTTATGATTTAGGGTCTGGTTCAGGGTTCTGGGCTCCAGGTTTGGGATTAGTGCTCGCGATGTTTGACATGTTACTTCTATTTTTTGAGTTTGCTGTTAAGGAACTAATATGGGTATATAGGAAATGATAGGGTTCCCTTTAAATTGCAGATGCTTTAAAATTCCCTTAGCAGCAACCCAGTTAGGGACTAGTACTGCTTTCAACACTTGTCCAGCAAACCCTGCATCGCAGCATCACCTCCCCCCATAAAAAACTTTTAGGCTTTTACCTGCCTGTTTCTTGGCCCACGGGCGGAAGTTCTTCAACGTCCGGGACGGCGCCTGGGTCAGTCTAATATTAAGACAAGATGCCGGTCTCTCACGTGTTTGGGTTGTGTTCTTGGAGAACACAGTGCATTTCGGAGAAGCAAGAACTTGGGAAATCACAGAAGGGATGCTTGTTTCGTACTAGGATGTACAGTGACCAGAAAGCCAATGTACACCCATCACGCCTGATGAATGAAGCTCCTTTAGGTATTTGCTTTCATCAGATTTCGGAAGATATGCACATTTCGGAAGATAATATGCATCGTCACTGAGCCCCGCTCATGCGATCTTGTAGCAACGATCCAATCGAAGATCTTGTCCTCGACCCAAGCCTGCAGAAATGAAAGGCATTTGGATTTGATCTTGGTTGAGCTCAGCGCCTTGGGTGGTGGGGGCCAGGACCCCGAACAAAGACGGAACCTCCGACTTTTGGAACAGGCACAAATAGCATACTCAAATGTTTTGAGTTGTCGGACAAGATCCCGAGCATCCTGGTCCCCAACGCGCGGGAACTCGAATGTCCCCGGTCAATTCGCAAACACTGCCCCTTGGCCTTTCTGCCAGCAAACTCACGAGCCGACCAACCGCCCCTAGATTCCGCTTTCGTACTCAAGATCTCACTCAATCGCCCTTGGAATGGCCCCCCTAAAAAATTGATTACTAATAGCAACAGTAAAAGCATAATGATAATAATGCGACTACTAATACTTAGGAATGACTATCTTACAACAATGATAATAGAAACCAAAAATATGAGCTGTTTGCAGAAGGCGCAAAAGGATGAACATCGTCAGACTGAACTTAGTCCGCAGACACTCCCTGTATCATCAACACACCGCCCACAAGGGGAACACATGCTTTACAGAAACTACCTGACAACTAAACCCACGTCCCTTAGATACCAGTAGAAACCTCATACAGCCTCCACATGTTTCAAACAGGCACTTACTTAGATGGATCGGTCATATTCATATGGCGGGACCTTTGGCACACCCAGCTGTCGCGTGAGGATTGCGATCTGGTCAGTCGGGATGGGGCAGACCTCAGGACAACTAGGAGTCTGCCAATTGGGAATCTCCCATCCTTTTCGCTTTTTCATAGGGACCCTCCATGATCACCTTTCATTCTTTAGTGCCCCATAAAACCCATATATAACATGTTACCTTGTTCCCTACTTACCCTAAACCCTCACTAAGGGTACTCTAATTTCAAGACGCCTCCATTTTCGCTACCACGGCCTGTGGGGTCGTCAGTGCTGATTAACCTTCTTTTGTAGATGCCTTCATGTCCAGCATGGGACAGGCCCACTGGGAAGGGCTCCTTCCAAAGTGGGTTAGACAAAGGAATATGCAGAATACATCTCTGGGAGGGTCTGTCCATCTAAAGGTCTACCTGAGCCTTGATTGGGGCTTTCTGCTGAATCTCCAAATGCTGGAAGCGTGGGGAAACCAAGGCAGAAACGCGGACTAGGCTGCAATGGGGAAATCCCCGTTTCAAGGCAGGCATCCCATAGTTTGTGCACACATACGTGGTGGGAACCCTTCTTGGAAACTACACTCTT